ATAAGGATTTGCTAGTGGTAATAAGAGTGTTGTTTTGTATATAGAAATAGTCATTCAGTTTATAAGTTTTGTTTATTAATTGTATAATAGTGTAGTAAGAGAGTTGTCGTTAATTTATATTTATCGGAAAATTGTTCTGATAGAATAAAGGGAACTGAATATTTCACCCTAGTAGGTCTATCTTCTTCCAACCCCATCCCTAAGGGCGAAAGTCGCTCACCACAAAATCGTTCTCCTCTTGATTTTGCTGAAGGGGAATCAAAGTTAGTTTCTGGCTTTTTTTAAATTGTCAATTTTAAATTTTTTAAATTAGTTATTTCATGCCCTAACATTTAGACATTCTACCTTAGGTTAGCTATATCCCTTCTGAGTGGTATAAAGCTCTGACTAAATATTCACTCCAAAGCTTTAATTTATTATTTTAAAATATTTAATTTGGAAGGCCAAATGTATGAAAAAAAATTAAATTATAAAATTTATTCCTGTTCTTTATTTAGAATTTCAATTTTTTTTCCATAATTTGAACATTTCCATAGGCTTGTACGGCCAATAATAATGGAGTCTGACTAGCAACATTTCAGCATTAGTTCATGATTCTCAGCAACAGCTCATCGCTATCCTTTTAGTCCTTCATTAAAAACTATTAAGACACTAGTAGTACTTAACAAAAACACAATAACACTTCTTTTTTCTTTATCCTCTTTTTTCCTTATTTAAATTGCGATTTTGGGTTTTGAGCATTGTAGTTTATTACCATGCAATTTGTATTTCTTTTATTTCATTTTTGTGCTCCGGATAATATAGATTATTTTACTAATATTATTATTAATAATTAATAATAATTATTATTATAAGAATTAATAATATTATTTTTTAAGAGGGTTTTAATGGCTAAAGTCATTTCATGCTCTAACTTATGTATTTAACCTCTATCTTAACTCAGCTATATTCTTTCTGAGTACTATAAAGCTCTGACTCCAAACATTCACTCATAATCTAATCTATTCTATTGCCAACCAAAGCTTTAATTATTTCTTTTATAATACTTAATTTGGAAGGCCAAATGTATGAAAAAAAAGATTATTTTATTTTATTTATTTATTTTATATTTATTTATGTAGTCATTATTTTTATTATTTATTTATATTTTATTTATTTATTTTAATGAAAAGTGAAGCTGATAGTTTGCACTTTTTACAACAATTCTCACACTATGCAAAGAAACTCTCTTCTTGAATCTCTCAAACCATCCTGTGCCAGCTTTAATTTCGGGTTTATGCAATTCATTAGATGAAACACTCTCAGAATCTTATAAATGTTGGTGAATCTTAAGTGACTTTTGTTTTATAGCAACACTATTTAAAGGTATATTTCTCGCGTTTAATTAAAATTAAACACTTTTCCATCTTAGTCACTAACATGTCTTTTATTCGAGCAACTTCCTTCAAATCTAAAGAAAAGACCTATTTGACAATATGGCTTGTATTTTGCTTTCATTCTGTCATAGTGTTCAAACTGTTGACTCTCGTAAGTTCAGCCCTTTAGCAATTGTATATCTAAATATGCAATGGTTTATCAATTAAGAATTATGCAATGTTGTATCTAAATGTTCTGTTTAGATTAACAAAGCGACTGATTTATCAGTTATGTATATAACAAGCATAATTATAACTATTTTCTGTTTGCTTATTTGTTGTTCCAGTTCATGGGCAGATGGAACAAATACGACTAATCGTGAAATGGCCTGTTATTTACAAATCGTCTAAAAATGCACTTCATACTTGTCATCATTTCTCAAATGGTGAAATAGGATTAAAAAAGCCACAAAATGTTGATTAAGATGTATTTGAGGTTATTTCATTATGGAAAAAAATCCATTTAAAAAAAAGAAGGTTGTATGATCGGGATTTGAGAATGAATTTTTACATAATCACTAAATCAAAAACTTTGAATATTACGATTTTTTATTTAGAAATGTTTACAACTTTGAAGAAAATATCAGTATTAAGAAATTTTAAAATCGCGCAATAGATATTATAAACAGCAGGCTAAAAATAGCTTCAAACATAGTTTGCTCCTGCAATGCAAGCAGCAAAATCATTCGTTGGAAGTATGAGATAAGATTCGTTACCCAACCTGATAGCAAAAAAAAGTCTATTTGCTCTGAAAGCGCTATATCGATCCTTGACTCATGACACATTAGCACATAAGTAAGAATTACATCTACATATGTACGAAGAGTAAGATAAGATCCCCTCTGTGAATTATAATACAACCTAATTCATTATATTTTTATTTTGTATGGATTGTAATAATAATTTTGTCATTAAATTTATTTAAAAAATTAGATACAATGATATGGTATACAGATGGCTTCAAAACACTTTTTTGTAAAAGCCCCAAACATGAGCCAACACCCGTTAGGGGTTGAATCTTGTTCTTTCAAGCTGAAATACATGCTATCAACTTACAAGCTTATGTCTTGGAAAATCTTAAAAGAAGTTACACAGGCAAAATTCTTCATAAGATAGAATAATCAAGCAGTTATTAAAGCATTAACATGTCAAAATGACAGCAGAATTAGTGAAATCTCCCCAAATGACAAAGTTTAAACTGAGAAAATAGTGAAAGAAGTGAAAAGTTCTATTAAAAATGTTGCCTTTACATTTCTCCTATCTTTTTCTCTTTCTACACTCTACACTATTAAAATCATCGTATAATCTCTTTTCTCTCCTACACTTCGGCCAAAACTTTTTTAATATTGTAGAGAGATTAATTATTTTTGGTAAAATAAAATTGATTTAGTTGTACTGGCAGAATAGAGACAAATAGTTAAAGTGAAATAAAGTAAATCCTGAGTCCAAATGAGAGTGAATCTATTTATTAGCTGAATGTGTAGTGTGAGAACGCTGATGGCGGAATATTGATCCCCAATTAGGTTAGTTATAGTGTAAAGGGTGATGGAGGAATATTGAGTACTCCACCAGCCTACTCACTGAGGAGTATTCACTCGTTAAGTGAATGGTATGTAAATAAGAAAGAATCTATTTAAAAGTGAGTAGTGTGACTGGGTTTGGTTTTAGGAACTGATTGTGTTGGGGGCTGAAATGACCTAGTTGTCGATATCCCCTGAAGCCCAACCTTGGGGGCTGAATGGATAAGACCGAGCTGAGCCACGACTGCCAACAACGGGAGTGGGTGATTTTCAAATCTATTGTAAATTACAAAATCTGCAATTGCCGTTGGACAGTAAGAAGTGACAGTTTCAACTCTGTGCACACATGTATTTGTATATATGTCATGAGTGTGCAGATTTGTGCTTAAATAAATCAGTAGTCGGTAAATCCTGCCAAACAGGAATGCTTAATGTCCATCTGTTTGTTAGGTGTGGATACAGTAGTACATATATATATTATTAATTATCATGAAACATGCATTAAGGTGTAGTCCAGCCATTAATTACCCTTTGGCAGTTTTCTTTTAAAGTTATAACAGCAAAATTATTTGAGTTGTTAACAACTTTAATTATATTGATAATTGTAAAAATTAATTTTTCATGACTGTGACGCAAAGGATGTTAAAGTTAAACAAAAACAGTTTACACTAAAATTTTGGTCAATTATCAAACTGGCACCGTAAAATGTAAGCTTTTATTTAATAATATATAGAATACAACAAAACGAGATAAACAATAATAATAATGTAATAGAGTACATCTGTCGAGTTTACATATAAAAACAAATACAATGTGCAGAAGTAAACATATTAAAACTAAGCAATATATTAGTTTTTAATAAAATGAAAGATTAATTAATATTAAATTTATTCACCAAAAACTGTATATTTTATAACATTAATGGTATATGAATTTAAAAAAAAATCCCAATTGTCTCCATTTTGGCTGTGCACTGATAATGTGTCATCACTTGTTGTAATAAAGTGAACAAAATTCTACCAGTGTGGTTATTCACCTAGAAAATGCATTACAGTTTCATTTGAATTTGTAGTTGCATAGCGAGCAAGGGCAATTATAATTTTGTCTTTATGGTCGATAATTGAAGATTAACATTTCTGGGCTTAATTTAAAAAATAAGCCTTATTTATACCGAAATGGTTGATGTAATCTTCATTATGATGTAATTGGTTATAGTAGAGGTGGAATCTTGCTATGGATGGATACATTGGCCAATAAACTGTCCCTTTCCCTCAGCCTGAGCTTTATTAATTTAATATTTCTATTGTAAGTTTTTTTTGTAGCGTTGTTTGATCACATTTTCTTTATTTTTTTAGTATTTTTCTTTTTTCCTTAAATTCACTAATTTCGTGGTCTGCTTGACCAATTAATTGTAAATTTTATCTCAACTAAAAACCTTAATTAATTGTAATTGTTCTTTTTTGTTTAATATTTACCATTGTATGGTAAATGAAAAACTAAAAGGTAGAAATAGTAAATAGAAATAATAAAAAAAGTAAAAAGTGAAAATAAAAAATTTCAAAGTTCAATCGTACTTTGAGATGATATTGATTCTTTAAGAACAATTTTAATATTTCAAGCTTATTAACTAATCTATATATTTATTTAATAACCATAATTGGCCTATTAATTATTTAAATTTATTATATTTTATAACAAAGGTCATGGTTGAGATGAAAAAGCTAGTGTCGTATGGAGGATTCAACCCACCCCATATTGAAAATATGGCAAAAAAAGGGAAAATGTGAAAGGTTGTAGAGATGAAGAAGAGTTGGCGTTCAAGCGGATCTAAATCAGGAAAGCTCAAGTGGTTAGAGCTGCAGCATATTCAGCCGAAGGCTCGAATCCCGCTCGTGACACTAGCTTTTTCATCTCAACCAAGACCTTATATAAAAAATATAACTAACTTATTAACTACTATAACTAACTCACGATCTCCAAATATTAACCAGTTTCATGCATAATTGATTGAATTCTGAAATTTACCATATTTATTATTATTTAATTTAATTAATTTTTGTTTCAGCTAAAATCATCATATTTTACGTAATCTTCTACACTGTGTTAGCATGCGTATTTTCCTTACTCATGTTGCTGCTTCACTACACACTTGACCCTAGGATACCAAAATATAAAATGGATTCGTCTCTTATAGGAACAAATCCAGGTAGATCATCATCCGCCAACATTGTTCTATTTGAAAGTTGTGTACCATTTAACAAAACGCAATATTTTCAGGATTGGGGTTTAGACCTGTGCCAAATGACACGAACAGCCTTAGCACATTGATCTGGTACAGGGGCACTAAGGAGGCCGATTATAAGATGTGGACTGATTCCCTCGTAGACTTCTTAAAAGGTGGGTTATTACAGAAACAATTTTTTAAAACTTATTTTTAAATTGGCATAATTAATTTAAAATTTTAATTTGTCTCAGAATACAAAACACCTGGAATAGTACAAGGACAAGGTGCTCATCTAGACACCTGTAGTTACGCCCATCCACCAAAACCAGGAAGGGTTTGCAAAGTCGATGTCAGGGATCTTTATCCCTGCAGCGAAGAAAACAAATTTGGTTATCATCTGCAGAAACCATGTGTATTTCTTAAACTGAATAAGGTATTTATTTTGATTTCATTAATTTTTTTATCACATAAAAAATTTAATCAAAATTTAAGTGAAAACTCTTACATGTACCTTTATTCTGTAGTAATGCTATCAATAGATAGATTAGGTTGTTTATTTTTTCTTTAGTTGTGTCTGCAAGTAATACATTTATTTTGATAAATTAAATGATATTGCAGATATACGGTTGGAAACCGGAATTTTGGAACAGTGTAGAAGAACTTCCTGCACACATGCCAAAATCTTTAAAAGATGTCATCAAAAAGGAGACTCTCACCGACAAAGAACTGGTGCGCAATACATAATGAGATTTGTTTGAAACATTTACACCCTTATTTGCAACTTTCAGTTTAAATCTATTTGGATATCATGTGAGGGTGAAAATCCTGCTGATGTTGAAAACATTGGGGAGATCAAATATCATCCAAACCAAAGAATACCTGGTTACTTCTTTCCATATGAAAATACTGAAGGCTACCTTGCCCCTCTCGTGGCAGTCCAATTCAAAAATCCAAAAAGTAAGTAATTTTTTTTAGATGACGAAAGCAAGGCTCACCTATTCATTTTTCAGATGGCCTCCTGTTGAACATCGAATGCAAAGCCTGGGCCAAAAATATTGTACACGACAGAAAAGACAGATTAGGAAGCGTACATTTTGAACTATTGCTAGATTAAAAAATAAATATATGAAATTTAAGAACCTGTAATAATTAAGTTTCAGCCTGTGAGGATTTTCATTATCTATTAAACTTGAATAAAATGTCACACATGCTTACAATAAAAATGCAGAAGCAATTTATTATAAATCACAGATTTTACGTGAAATGACAAAGATGCCTTGTAATTGCCATAAATAGACCGACCAAAACTGTGCCTTAAATTTTTACTTTTTTTCTGTAAAAAAAATTATTTAAAAAAATAAATATTTAAAAAATCTATAGAATTAATTTATTGTAGATAAATTTGACTTTAAAAGAATGAAGATCAGTCACAGCATTTTGATAATTTAATGCGAAGGTACAGCACTGGCCTGATATCTGTGTTCATATAATTTTTTTAGTACTTTAAACATTTTTTTAAATGTTATTTTGTTGTGCTCTGTTAAGTTACTTATAGAATATGTAAAGTGCAAGTCAAATAGGATGTGTAGAACGTCCATCATTTCGTCCTTAGATGTAGCTATTTTTTTTTTGTTTTTGTTGTTTACTCCAAGTATTAAAACTGTAAGTAAAAACAAAACTTATATAAAAAACAAATATATAGTGAAAGTAATTTATAAATATAATGCATTTTGAAACATAACCAAATATCTGTTTTTCTTTCTTTCTTTCTTTTTTTTTAGAAGTTCAACTTTGTTTTTATATTTGTTTACTTTTGTTAAAATAGACCAACACAGATAAATAAATTGTCCAGTTCAAAATTAGCTTGAACAAAAATTGTATTATTGGCTGAATTGTTACTTAATGTATGTGTATTTTTTTGTTTTTTTTAGTAAACCAGACTAATAAGTGAAGCTATTTTGTACATAAAAAGAAAAACTGCATTTTTTATGTTTGTTTTATTTAAAAACCAATTAAATAACTCCTGAGACATAAATATTCTTCGTCATATTTTTCCAACATTTGTACTGAACATTATTTGCTTACCGTGAACTCCAGCGTTCAACTAATTCTATAAATTTGATAAAAATAAATTATGACATCCTCAGTTTTCCAGGTGATTTTTATTCTGTTCCCCATTAGGAAGTGCAGTTAAACTTAGATAAAATATTGTTTATGAAAAATTATTAATAAAAAAGTAAAATTAAAAAAAAAGTATTTACAATTGAAAAGTCATTAATGAGAAAGTAAAATTTGAAAATTTGGAATAAATTTTTTTTATTGAGGTTCAAATAAGAAAGTTTATGCTGCAGTTACAACAATCTGCAAAATGACACAAACCCTAAAAGACCTTGTAGGAAAGGATACAAATTATAAAGTACAGTTTATAACACTGAGAAACAGTTTGACACTAATGTTCTTTCACAATTTATTTAATAACAAAATTAATTAATTTTTTATCTTGATGCACTCTATTCCACAGACAGAGGCACCAAAAACACACTTTCATAAAAAATAGTCTTTATTTTTTAAAAAACAAATTTCGATTTCGAGGTTGACTTAACAATGCACAGTAACCCATAAAATTTAAAAAAGTGAATTTTTAAATTGTAAATTTTTCAAAACTAGTTAATATCAACTATTTTGGTACCAATGAGAGAGAGAGAGATAAATGATCTGACCACAGTACACTGAGATGCCCTATGGCTGGCCAATCACAATATTATACCTTAAAATCATATTATTTGAAGGCTATTAGAAATTGGAAATTTCTGTATTTTTTATTGTAAAATCTGCTTATAAATTAGATTTCTTACATTTGGAACTTTTACTCGCTTTTTGAATAGATAAACAGCTTATAACATAGCACAAAATTCATTGTACCCAATGAACAGATTTAGTTTGAAAACTATTTTTAAGCTGCAGTCCACCATTTTGAAAAATATATTTATTTATTAATATATTTATTGCTGGTTTATTTATCTATAAACATAAAGCCTTGCATTTTTTTTTTTTTTTGGGGGGGGGTGAATTTTCCAGCTGTTTGTATGGTTATAAAATAAAAACAAATAAATAAACATTTTTTATTAATTAAAATACCCTCCATCATTTTCAGAGATACACTTCTTCCAACGTAATGGAACCTTCTCTATACCCTATGAATTTAATTTTAAGTCTTTACTATTAACAAATTCTGTAAACGCATTTCCTAACCGTTCTTAATCATTAAATTTTTTTGTTTATAAAACATCTCCAGTTGTCTGAAAAAATGGTAGTCGGTAGGCTAGAGGTCAGGACAATTGAGAGTTGTGATCGAACCTCATAACTAACATCCAACAGTTTTTATGTTATGTGTGAGACATGGGGCCGAGTGTTGTGTAACAGAATTGCCATTTTCCAATTGACCAAAGATGCAAATTTCTGGCGCTTTGCTTCAATTTGAGATCAACAAATTTCGGCATTGATTGTTTTGCCACATTTCAAGAAGTAGTAATTCAATTCAAATGAAGCCCATCAAATAGTCACTCACCTTTTTTAAAGTTAGGGACTTTGGAAAACGTGGTGCTTCTTTGTCGAGCCACTGTCCAGAATGTCCACTGTTATTGTATAGAATCCACTTTTCATCACAAATAACGGTTCTATCCAGAAAAGGTTAGTTTCTGTTCTGGCAAAGAAATGTTTCATAACGATTGTTTTGGCGGTTGTTTAATGCAAGAGGAACCCAACTTTAGAGCTTTTTCACCTTTCCTGGCACCATTGAGTGCTTGGTGTGACCAGTTCAAAGCTCAGATTTGAAAGCAATTTGTACTGACTTGGAGTTAGAACAGGTGTTCTTGATGAATGGAAAAGAATTACTCAAGATTTTATGAGTAATGAATGGAAAAGATAATTTCCAAGGAAAGTAAAGGCATTTAACAGGACATGTCATTTGTATGTGATTTGTGACAGAGGTCGAACTACTTAGTACTAAAGGTGAAGGAAAGTTTTTTTTTGTTCTTTACTCAATATTTTTTTAGGAAATAAACATTTTCCTTTTTAAATTCTTATTTTCACAACTAAACCTATTTTTGGTATGGAAAATATGAATAAACTTTAAATATGTTAATATTTAAGGGGTGATGCAGTAATTTTGTCCAACAGTGTATTTATATTACATTCAGATATGATCTCGTTCATGTTTTTTATTATTTTTGTAAATATTTTTTATTTTAATTTTACGTTGCGTACTGGATGGGTGTATTATTTTTGTAAAAGGTCTGTAAATCCAATAAATAATTTGAATGTTTTACACTCAAAGCACGACACAGCCCAGCCTTATCATTTCCCGCCAAAACATGGCAATAGTTTTTAAGGTTTGCAAGTTATTAAAAATTTATACCGATCACTGTTTAAAAATTGTAATAACTTTTAATAATAAAAACAATTTGTTTGATAGTTGTTTATGATGGTATTTTGCAAATGTGGTGCCTAGAAGGCGCGGTGCCGGTACCGGATTCCCGCTCCCGCCTAAAACGGCCGTCCTCCTTTCCCGTTATCTGTGTATCTGTGAGTTGTGACTGTGAACTGAAGCGGTGGGCTGGCTTTTTCTTTCCTCGGATTCCACTTCGTCCTTCGCCCTTTTTCGCATCGGTGAAACTCCCGATAACTGAAAACTGCGACCACTCGTTTCTCGGCTGACAATTTTCGACGATCTGCAAAAATAAAATAAATGTCTTCAGAGTCGAAGGAAGTCCCATCCGACGTCCTGGCAGAGTAAGCCTTACTACTTAGATCGGTCCGATCGGCGGTATAAAGTTTTAATTTATTGTTGTTCAGGGTGGAAAAGCTCGACCGGGAATACGAAGAAGGATTTTTCACCAAAAAAGGGTTTTATTACAAGAAATGGCTTTTGCTGAAGCCGTACGCAGGGAGTGAACTCGTCCACGATGTGGAATCCAACAATGAGCGTTTGGACAAGAAAGAAATCCAACAGGTCATTTTCATAAGATATTTTTGTTTTACCAAGCATCCAAGCCTTTTGTCAGGTTATCAACGATTTGCTTCAAATATATTTCCAGCATGCATTTCACTACAGTATAAATATGTATGTGCTGAATGGTTGACCCGAAGTTCGTCACAATATACACGAGTTATTGTAGAATCAATTATGTTTCACTTTTTGTAAATGACAGTTCTTCTCACAGATTTGCGTGCATTGCACTTACACACAATATTACAGTATCTCTCTTAAATCTGTGAGTCCATCATTTACAAAAAGTGAATCTACATACATCATCACCACCAGCCTAAAGTTTTGGGTTCGAAGTTCTCTAAAGGATGTTTTGTGGTGCTGTAAGGAATCTTATTCTCTCATGTAGTACGTCAAATGTTTGCATACTTATTCTAATGGAGTTGAAAACTTTTTACTGCCATCTCTTAAATCTTTAAAAAGTACAACAAATGTCCCAGTCTTGTCTCTTCTCATATCTTGCAGTCTATTTCTTCTCCTTTTCTTTACACAAATACATAACACCATTAATGCAATTAAATTTGTGCATTCCATTCCAATCTAGACGTGGTTACAACTGATATCGGGAGTGCATCATATCAATGTGAACTTTCGCGTTCCTCCTGATAATTGTGAAACAGGCCTTCAGTAGGAGCATTCCCCAACAAAAAATATTATTTCTATGTATACTACTCCACAAAAAGAGCTGCACACTTTGAAATTTGTCATCCTTTTTTAATTTGACGTTTTGATCATATTTTTGGATTTACTATTTGAAAAATGTTTCAATAATTATTATTGTTTGGGATGTATTTGTTTATCTATTGTGAGGCAAAACTCCTTATTTCACATTTAAAATCCCCAGCTTTGATGTTTACCTGTAAATCATTTAAAAATGCCATGATCCTCTATTGTGTTGGTGGCGCAAAGCAAAATGATAATGAAATTACCTTTAACTTGCAAACAAGTAGAGCCTGTGCATTGCATTTGTTGTGGATGGAAGAAGTCAGCGATGCGTGGTGTGAGTTTTAGGTTTGCCTGAAGCTGCCAGTGCATCAGGCAATTCAGTGGTTTAGGGAAACAGGAAGGTGTGCTCAGATACCAGAATGGAACACCCAAATGAAAAAAAATTCTGAAATGTCGCATAGACTTTACACCGTGTGAAATGTGGTCGTTAGTACTGAAACAGTAAGAAGGAGATTTGCAAAAATGAGTCCAAATCCCAGAAGGCCAGCAACGGTTCTGGTGCTTATGAGAGGTCATCGTCGTACCACTTAGAGTTTACAAGGGTACAAGGACATTGAATAAAAACTGAATGGTGAAATGTTAAATATATTATGTTACAATATGTGTCATATTATAAATGATTATTCGGAGATTGTGAGATGCGGTCTGGTGTGACATAGGTTTTAGAAAAAAATTGAGAAGATGATCTCAATGAAGATCGAAACGTTGGCACGATAAATACACATACATATAAATGTTTACTAACATGTAGATACTTATAGTATGTACATGTTAATAAACTCCTCCTGACACATGGGTACTGTTTGGTTAGGAAAGTTCTTACCTAATTTTAGGCTTTAACCGTGAAGCAAAAACCTACATGAGGGCACTAGATTAAATGGTAGAACTACAAAAATTGAGACATGTTTGAAAGAAAATAATCATTAAATAAAATGCTATGGCACTTTTAAACTACAGAACACATTTTGTGTTGAAATATCCCTTCCTCTATTCCATGACCACTCTATCCTTTCTTAAATTTGTTGCTTCCCATATAAAGTATAATTGCATGTACATTTCTTTGTCTGAACTGTCTTTGGTGCTTCCATTCATAATCACTCAAAATATGTCTATGTATGGAATATATATAAAACCTAGTGTTTTATTTTTATTTCCTTTATAGGATGAATATTTTAGCAGTATGAGTGAGATTTTATCTAATGTTATAAAGTTCAAATCAAGCGGAGCTGACAGTTTGGAGGGCGAAGAAATAATCGAGAGAACTCCCTCTCCCTGCAGAGAAGACTTTTACTCTTCTCCAATTCCAGGACCATCAACAGCCACCACCCCTCGTTCTTACAAGAGATCTACATCTCCAAGAACTTCAATTGTAAAAACTAGGAGTAAGATATTTTTCCTTTTAAAACATTGGTCACTGAAAAAGGACCCTTTAAAAAATGATTGATTTTAAGGATCGACCAGGAGGAGTAGTGGTCCGAGCTCTGACCAGAATACAATAACAGAAATGTTTTTAAACTCACCAAAGAATCAGAAACCACATGGATCTGGAGAAATAGGCAAAACAGAGGAAAGCGTCAATAAAAAAAAAGAGGGTGCGAAGATCAAAACACCAAAAAGGAATTCTCTGAAGTGGAATTCATTGGTTATGAAAGACGAGGACAAAGAAAATATAAATGAAAATGGTGAATTAACTGAGAAAGTATGTAATGGTAAGTTTTCATTATATTATTATTTTTATATATACTTTTAGTTGCAAAAAATAAATAATTTTGTTTGATCACTCGGACGAAGGCACTTTCAAGTCCGACCTAGAAGATGGGAATGTAAAATATGAAAATCTGGATGATATTATTGGGGTACCAAAAAACAATGGAGCTATGGAATTAAATGAGAGTGACAAAACAACCCAACCCAATAAGAAAAACTCAAACGGTACCATGCTATTTAAAACTGTTTTATTTGCATTATATGAACTTGTAATATTTACAAATACCTGTTACTATTTATGTTATATATGTACCATCAAAATATTTTTTTAATTAATCAAATTTTGGATATAGCTCTTAATAACAATTAAGTTTGTATGTAGGCATTGATGATGAACTACCTGTCAAAATGGATGAGAATTCTGTGATGAAACATGATATTTTTTATGACAATGGATTTGACAAAAGAAAATCTGATGGAGATATGAACGATGACGATTGCGAAGATGATTTAAGCAGTAAAAAAATAAAGCTAGAAAATGAGCCAAAAAAGGAAAGAGAAAAGATAAAAACTAGTTTAAATCTAACTATAGCCAAGATGAAATCTGTGACAAAGCGGTGTGATATTTGCTGTCAGTTGCTTGAATCCGATATTAAACTATATGAAGGGCATCCCAACAATGCTGTAGAAGAGTTTGTCGCTTTAACCGATCCAAAATTGAGCCTGTTTACAGGTGATGAAGAAGTTGTTGATGATTATGATTCTCGCCCTCAGAACAAAATTACCCATTTTAGGTACAAATGTCCAAATTAACATCCCTACAACTTTTGAATGATTTCTTTTTTTTTTCTTTTCAGTATTTATGACAAAGCGGGACACTTATGCCCATTTGACAATGGCTTAGTTGAAAGAAACGTCCTTCTTTATTTTTCTGGGTATTTAAAACCAGTTTATGAAGAGGATGGAAGAATTGAGGGTATTTTTATATTGAGATGTTAAAAACACAAGGTTTTCAATTAGCTCTTTTGCTTTTGCAGGGGGAATTCCAACTAAAGATTTAGGGCCAATAAATGAATGGTGGATTTCCGGTTTTGACGGAGGTGAAAAAGCTTTAGTAGGATTCTCAACAGATTACGGTGACTATTTCTTAATGGAACCTAGTCCTCAATATGCACCAATGATGGAAGGTGTTAAAGAAAAGACATACCTGGGGAAAATTGTTATTGAGTTTTTATTAGATGAGGAAAATCCTTCGTTCGAAGACCTACTAAATAAACTACAGGTAGTGTGTCTAAATAATTCATTAATTTTATTGTTTAATCCTATACATTCTGACTCGTTTAGACGACTGTCCCACCACCTGGGGTGCCAAAACTTACAGAAGATTCCCTTTTGCGCCATGCACAGTTTATCTGTGATCAGGTTCTCAGCTTTGAAGCTGCATCAGAAACCAATGATAATACATCTCTTATTACAACGCAGTGCATGAGATCTTTGGTACACCTTGCTGGAGTCACTTTTAGAAAGCGGTATGCTTTTTAATGTTTTTAAAAATATTAGATAAAAATTGGAGTTAATATTAAACAAACATAACCGTTGCAGGCAAATAATGCGTAAATCTGAAAAGAAACAGTTTAATGTTAAGAAACCCGTTTGGAGCAAAGCTACAACAACGCCTTTGGTCAATAATGTTTTTGAAACATTTTTTTCTGAACAACTGGACAATACCGATGGTGAAGTTAAGGTCAGTTTAAGTGAATTTTTACCAGAGAATATTTCAAATGTTACAAAATAAGAGTGAAAAAGAAGAAAATATACTTTAAAACAAAACTAACTTAAAAAGAGAGGGTTTCCATTTAATTTAAACCCCTCTATAATGGAAATCCTCCATACAGGTCGTGAATACTGCCATCAGTCATCATCAGAGTAATTCACCCTTTTAGAATGGATATACATAATAAAAATACATTAAATGTCCTTAGAAAAAAACAAAAAAACATTTGTTACAATATTCTTTTTAAAAAGGTAGTTCCCAAGCATAGTTAGTGGTTTTTATTATTTATAAAATAAATAAAATATAAAGTTTTATATTTTATATTTATTATTTCTATGATTTCTGCTTAATTTGCTTTGTCCTTTTCTAAGTGTTACTTTTTTGTAGTACTGTTCCTGATTTGAACATGTCTTGGTAATCCATTTTAGGGAATTACATACGTACAATTTTGAAAGCTTCTCTTTTGCGGAGGAATAAATTGTTTAGGCATTTAACTTCTCTTTTTTATTGTTTTTTTTCCTATTTTCTGGAAACTGCTTTGTCTTTATATGTTGTTTCTTTTCGAAGCTGCCAACTTCTAGGCCATAAGAGTCAAATCAAAATTTTGCATGCTCGCAATGATTGATTTAGTTGTTAAAGTATAATTTAAAAAATAAAATAAAAAGTTGGTTGTTTTTGACAGTTGTATAAAATTTACTACATGACAATTAATTAAGGTTTTTAGTTGAGATGAAAAAAAAGTTAATGGCACGAGCGGGATTCGAACCCACGATCTTCGGCTAGATACGCCACTGCTCTACCACCTGAGCTATCGTGACCTCGATCCACTCGGACATCAACTCCCTATCTCAACCCCACCTTATGGGTTTTCCCTCCTTTTGCCATTTTTCAAATGTCGTGTAATCAGTTTGGATTCTCGACGACAATTGAAATGGCGACGGAGAGCTTTAGTGGTCAAGCAGACCACGAAAGTAGTGAAATAAAAATTACTGTTTTTCATTTGGACACTTAATTAAATGTCCTTCATGCTGAACTTCATGGATTTTCTAGGGACCAAAGAGGATGAGGTGTGGAATCTGTGAAGCTTGCCAAATGGCTGACTGTGGTACATGTGTGCATTGTCGTGACATGGTGAAGTTTGGAGGTTCGGGGAGAAGCAAACAAGCTTGCATTAAGCGGAGGTTTTATTTCAATTTGTAATTACTCTTACTGACTGATATTATTCATTATATTTGTTAGGTGTCCAAATATGGCGGTGCAAGAAGCTGATGACTCTGAACCTGAAGATGAGTATAGCTATCAAGAAGCGGCGGAGAAAATATTAAAGGGTGAAGTCAAAGTTAGAAGTGCTAGAACAACAGGAGGAAAGAAACAAGTCGAATGGACTGGAATAATTGTTGCTGATGACGGAAGAAGAGTATTTTATAAGTAAGTTTTCAATTTGTCGTTTATCGTCTCGTTTCAAACATAACATTTGTTTTCTTTCTTCTTTAGGACTGCAATTGTTGGAGGAGAGGAAATTTCTGTTGGAGATTGTGTCAGTGTCGAACCAGTAAATCCGACGACACCCCTTGTTATTGGGAAAGTTTTGTACATGTGGGAAAATAAATTTTCACAAAAATTCATGCATGCCCATTGGTTTCTGTAAGTTTATGCGTTTTGCTGATAGGACTGTTATTAATTGTTTTTCTCTTTCCAAGACGTGGATGTGAAACAGTGCTTGGTGAAACAGCAGATCCTCAGGAGCTGTTCCTGGTTGACGAATGTGAGAATTCTTTGTTAAATGGCATTTATAGCAAGGTTACTGTTCTGAAAAAGACCCCTGGAGACAATTGGTCTAGAGAGGGTGGAGACTCCCTCTCTGCCCAATCCCTTTTCATTGATCCTAAAAACGATAAAATGTTTTTTTATCAGAAAAGGTAAGTTTCAAGACTCTTGCAATTTTTCAATATAAACTTTTTTTTTTTCATTAGATACAATGAGAATGTGGGACGGTTTGAAGATCCATATGAAGATCCTGTTTGTTCAAATCAAAGTATCGCTCATAGGTATGTTTTTGTTTTTCAAAATTTCACACAAACTTAATAAATATTGGGTTGACCAGAAAATAATGAAGGTTTATGGTTATAAAGTAAAACCAATTAAATAAATTATTTTATACATGTTTTATTAATTAAAACACTCTCCATCACTCTCAGTACACTTCTCTCAATGTGATGGAAACTTTAAACTTTAAAATACTCTGAATATAATTTTGAGTATTTGTTATTAACAAATTCTGTAAATGCATTTTGTAACGATTTTTTATCAATTAAGCTTTTATCTTGTAAAATGTCCAGGTGTCTGCAAAAATGGTAGTCATAGGCCAGAGGTCTGGAGAGTAGGGAGGGTGAAGCAGAACCAAGATTCAACAGTCATGGGGTTCAATTAAAACATGAGGCTGAGCTTGTCTATTAACAGAATCGGTCTTTAACCAAGATAGCTTCAATAATGCCAATTTCTGGTGCATTGCTTCAATTTGAGAGCATTGATTGATTCTCAAGTTTCAAGAAGCTGTAATATATCATCCCAAATGAAGCCCACCTAAGAGTCACCTTGAAATATTTTTTTATGAGTTGGGGGCTTTAGGAATTGTGGTGCTGCTTCTCCTTTGTCCAGCCACTGTCCAGAATGCTTGCTGTTATCTTAGTGAATCCACTTTTCATCACAAGTAACAATTTTATCAAGAAAAGGTCTGTTTCTGTTTCGGCAAAAAAATGTTGAAATATGATGATGATAATTTTTTTGGTGGTCGTTTAATACACGAGGAAGCCAACTTTTGAGCTTTTTCACCTTTATCAATTGCCTTAAGGAGATCAGCAACAGTTGATTTGCTAACTGACCTCTGTTTCTCTGCAAGTTCTCGGACAGTTCTCGAATTTTCTTCGACCTAAGCTCGCGAAATAGTGAAGTCTAGTGAAAAAATCCTTCATGATTTTCTTTGTCTTCAAGGCTAAACTCTCACTATCAAAATTCTTTAAAATCATCACACTATCATTGTCCCAGGGTTCGTTAATATTTCTAGCTGTTAGGGCCCTGTTCCGACCAAGTTTAATCTCATAAAATGAAATTACACAAAAAACCTGCGTTGACATACTGAATTATTCTCAAATAACTAAATGCTACTGAAACAACAGCAAAACAACATTTTCGTTTGCAAAAGGATTAAAAAGTGTTGCCATTCTACAAAAAAAAATATCCATCAAACGTAAACATCTTATTATATTGAGGGGTAATTGAAAGAAAACACTAAAACTGGAATTATTTTCTGGAAAACCCAATATTAAAGTATAGACTAAAATTGTTATTTCCTAAATTTTATGGTCATAGTTTAAAACAGTATAATAAATGGGATATATTTAAAGGTTTTGCCCCTCTTGCGAGCGACTGTATCAGCAGCAAAAATTTGAAAACCCATCTGTCCAAGGAAAAATTGAAGAATCCTCAGATTCTAAACTGGTAAAAACAATTTCTTTCTAGCAGAGTGATCATTGCCATCTGATGCCTAATACTTTTATATGTTATATTTATTTTATTATTGATCCAGGGCCATTATGAATTAGTAAAATGGAGAGGTGATGAGTACACTGTAGGGTGTTGTGTTTATCTATCTCCATCAGTGTTCAAATTTAAGACATACGGGAATGTTTATAAACCCTTATCCCGTAAAGGTGAAAAGGATGTGAATGAAGACCTCTATCCTGAGTTTTATCGTAAAAGCTCTGACCATATTAAGGGGTCCAACATAACAACACCAAGTCCATTTTGTATCGGCTTAATTGTTGACATATTCACCAATTCTAAAGATAAAATTGTCGCTCCTGCTGATATTTGTATTCGTGTCATAAAATTCTACCGTCCAGAGAATACGAGTGGTATCACGAGTCAGTTAACCCATATCGATCTGAATAAATTATATGCTTCGGATGAAGGTAAAATAATTAAATATGTGGATATGTGTCGTTTTTAACGAGTTAATTTTTTTCTTGTAGAAGTGATAGTTAATTTTGGCGATGTCACTGGAAAATGTGCTGTTGTGTATAGTGAAAATCTGATTGAAGACATCTATACATGGTCTAAAGAAGGGCCAAATAGATTTTATTTCAATGAAGCCTATGATTCACAAACTCAGACACTCGTCGAGCCTTCTAGGACTGTTAAAATGCTAGGAAATGCTGGAAAAGTATATATCCATACTGATTAACTTATGAACCACTTTTTAAATTATCTTCTTTTTACAGGGAAAGGGAAAGGGCAAAGCAAAAGTGGAAAGAAAAAAGATAGAAATTGCTGTGTGGCCTACAATCAAAAGACCTTTGAGATGTCTAGATGTTTTTGCTGGCTGTGGAGGTAAATGTTTTGTTAAGTAGATATGAACTTATGTGGCCCATTACATATTTAATTTTATAACGCTCACACGACAGACAATTTTGGATGTATATCCAAGTGTAGTTTAATTTTTTTATTTTTAATTAGATTAAAATTATTAACTTGCTTTTAGCAACCGAATTGGCTTTAATTTTAGCAATACAATTACAAACAATGAATATTTCAAAAAGTAAACTCATTTTTTAACAAACTAGTGGTCTGTTGGGCATCATTGGAGTCATAGACCGATATAATTTATAAACGTGGGAAAACGGAATGTGAATAGCAAGTGAATAGGAAACAAACTGTAAAATTGTTAGTCGTTCACGACGGTTTTTTTCTGATAGTGTTATGGGTCATTTTGGATTCCCATCCTGGTTCACTACAGTGATATATCATTGGGTACAACATGAGATACCAATGAAGTCTTAAAACAAAAATTAACTTTGGACCACTGACGATAGGCACAACGACGTGTCCATGACCTGGCAGTTCTCCTTCTGAAAAGTGCAAAATTCCAGCTAGTTGAGCAACAAGAAGTTAACACAGCCTAAGAAATAGTCTCACAGATCTTTTCAAGAAAACTGAATCAATTAGAATCAATTGTTTCCAATCTTAAAGATACATTTTCTAATATAATGGAGGAAGAGCAACATGAACTAAACGATGGTCTAAACCAGGGGTCGGCAACCTTTTTCGGACGGCGGGCCATTTTCAAAATAAATTTTTTTATGCAGGCCGCACATTCAAATGTAACTTAAATAGTGCTTTTATATCATATATGAGTATAAATATTATTAAAAATAAATATAGAAAAAATTTATTTTTTATTGACATGCTATAATAACGTCAATATGAACGTGTTTATGTGCAAAATGCACATATGAACATACAGTAGCAAACTGGCGAAATGATAGAATGCTACACTTGCTAAGCGAGCCATTATATTCGCTGGAGAGTGGGGATTAAACTTGCGTAGTAAAATAGGTTTCCCACTATGCTTCTGTTAGCGCGCATTTTTGTCACCGGCCACATTTCGGCACGCTCACGCTCTAAGTTTGTTGATTTTTCCTAAAATTATATTGGGCTTTGGCGGGCCGCGCAAAAAGTTGCAAAGGGCCGCAGGTTGCCGACCCCTGGTCTAAACAGAACTAAACAAATAGTCGAACAACACAAAAATTTTGCATTTCAAGAAAGTATGCCTTAAGCGAGGAATACATTAACCCGATGCAATGAGACATGACCCGAAACCACCTGACATTGGTCCAATTTTCCATACCCCTGGGCACATCTGCTTGATGCCATGCAATGTTACCCTACTCTGATTACATTATGTACATCTCATAATATACGTCGCTTTTAAGTGATGCAAAGTTCAAACTTACGTCTTGCATTGACTCAGCTGCTGCAGTCTGGTATGCTCAGCTTTTAGCTAAACTGCCAACAAGGGCTGTCAAAATTGCGTGGTCTGGTTTTTTATTTTCTGGGTGTCCTGAATGCATATCCAAAGCTTTGGAGGATTCTATAAAATATAATTGACCTTATAACAGAACTTCACCCTCACTTGCAACAAATCTGATAAGAATCAATGAATCTGTCCTTGAATTTTAAAACTGCGAGGTCCAACTACTGGAATATCTTTCCTTGTGGCAGAAAAAGATGCAAATGCCATTGTTCTGTTGTAATTCTGTATATTAGACGATTGAGGAACTAACTATCCAAATTGAGTTGTGGGAGTGAAATAAGGCCATTATAGCAGCAGGAGTTAAAATAAACGCTGGTTTTCTCATTCTCAAAGTGTTTAGCATTGCAGGGCACCCTATAAAATCATTCTAAGGTGTGCTCGGGTTCGAATATTCCTAGTTTGTCAGAAATCGTATATGAGCGAGTAAGTCTGCTTTTTTATTGTTTTTCTGTGTTTAGAACGGAAAACCTACCCTCACTTGGGTGGGTGGCCACTGCTTGATACAACAAAAATACAATGTGCAGTTAAAAAAATAATACAATGATAAAAAAAATATATGCAAGAACACAACAATATTAGCTCACCTGTTATATTTTAATTACTTTCTTATTTTCCTCATTTATCAATTTATAATTTTGATAATTTTCCGAATAAATTTGAGGCAGGGGCTTTCATTTAAGCCATCAAGGATGAAAATCAGTGGAGCGGTTAGGCCGTAATTTTGATGGGTGTTTCGGGTGTTTGCAATTATATATAAAGATTTTCAAATTTAAGTAGAATTCATAACTTGTACAAGGTTATATGAAAATAATTGAGGTCAGTGTTCTGATTTTGTACAAAATAAAATTAATGGGTACATTTTTTTTTTTTTTCAAAGGTTTATCTGAAGGCCTCCATCAGAGTGGGGTTGCTGAAACAAAATGGGCGATTGAAAAGGAAGAAGCAGCAGCCAATGCGTTTAGACTCAACAATCTGTCGGCGACAGTTTTCTCCGACGATTGCAACCATCTTCTTAAACTAGTAATGAATGTGAGTTTTATAAAATTCTTTGAGAAGTTTGTTTTATTCATTTGTTCAATTGTTTCATTTAGAATTAATTTTGTTTTTAGGGAGAGTTGAAAACTGATAAAGGGCAAAAATTACCACAAAAAGGTGAAGTTGAGTTACTCTGCGGTGGACCTCCTTGCCAAGGTTTCAGCGGTATGAACAGATTTAACTCAAGGCAATATTCAATTTTTAAGGTTAGCCCTCTTAAAGATTTACACCACAGACAATATTAATTAATTGATGCATTTATATTTGTTTTATATAGAATTCATTAATTGTCTCTTACTTGTCGTATTGCGATTATTATCGTCCGAGATTCTTTATATTGGAAAATGTTAGGAATTTTGTTTCCTTCAAAAGGAACATGGTCCTGAAATTGACACTGCGATGCCTTATAAGAATGGGTTATCAAGTTGCATTTGGTATTCTCCAAGCCGGTAATTATGGTGTACCTCAAACAAGAAGAAGGTCTGTATGAACTATTTTGTTATTATTGCAATGTATTAACTTCAATTGTGTGTTAAGGGCCATTATACTAGCAGCGGCACCTGGTGAAGTGTTACCAAATTTTCCTGAACCCCTACATGTCTTCAATCCACGTGCGACACAATTGACAATTATGGTCGATGACAAAAAAGTATGTATAAATTAGACTTAATTTATCAAGATTTACATAATAATAGTAAATAAATTAAAAAAATAATTTATTTCAGTTGGTATCTAATTGCCAATGGGTTGAATCTGCACCCTTCAGGACCATTACTGTCCGGGATGCTATGTCTGATCTACCTCAAATTCCTAATGGATTTAGGGATGAAGAGATACCGTATATTGGAGAACCTATTTCACATTTTCAGAAACAGGTAAGTTCTGCAACATAATTTAGTTTATTCATAACATTTTGCCTTCAAGTTGTAAATAGAATGCAGGGAAATTTTCATAACATAATAATTATGAATATTTTCATTATTTAATGCAATTTCTTTTGTTTATGTATTGTCCCCATGATTGTTCGTCTGTTCTAATTACATCGATGGACAAATTTAATGCACCACTCAATTTATTTAGTTTAAAATTAAATCCATTATCATTGTACATATATTACAGATAATTAGGAGCTATCATAGTAAAAGTAAACAGTAAATATTGCTTTGTTTACTTTATTTACTTTTGTTTTACTGATTAACCCCTTTTGCACAAAAAGTAGCATTATGCCCTTCCATCTTAGATCTTTTTGATCGTTTTTGGGGCATCAGTGGCTGCGATGGTTTACTGTTGAGACAGTGCTCATCACTGTAAAGGTCTCTGGCAGTGGCCCTGCATTCGAAACTGATATATTGTTTTTCCCCCTTTCTTTCTTTCCAAAAACAGAGTTGATGAAATTGCTTGTTAAAAAAAAAAAAATGCTTTCAGTTAATCTTTTTCCTTTGTTGATTTCATTTGATATTTTTCTTATTTCAATTAATTATTCTTTTTATGTAAGGTTGAGATAAAAAAGTCAGTGCCATGAGCGGGATTCGAACCCTAGACCTTTGGCTAAATACGCCGCTGCTCTACCACTTGAGCTATTGTCTTCGATCCTCTCGGACACTTAGGTCAATCCTCTAGTCACTGAGAATCGAATCTTGATTACACGACATTTGGAAATGGCGAAAAGAGGGGAAATTCGTACGGTTGTAGGTTGAGATGGAGTTGGTGTCCAAGAGAATCGAAGTCACGATAACTCAAGTGGTAGAGCAGCGGCGCATCAAGCCGAAGGTCGTGGGTTCGAATCCCGCTCATGACACTGACTTTTTTTTATCTCGACTGAGACCTTACAGAAAAAGAATAATTAATTGAAAGAAGTAACTTGGTCAATTGACCACTAAAATGTAAATGGATTATTATTCATATTCTTAAAAATCTTAAATCTTTTTCAATGGCTCCAATAAAGAGTATGACAGACAGAGTCATAACGTTATTAAAGGAGAGATACAGCACAAAGTCGCACGGAGACGAGTGTAAATCACTCTATGATAAAAAGGATTCTTTGGCACTTCAAGATACTGGGCTCCACGCTAGACTTAGGTCAGTGTCGACCTAAGTCTAGAGACCAGAGAGATGATAGATTCATCCATTATCAGATTCTACAAAACCTCAGCATTACGGGAAATGAGATAAGAAATCTGATAAGACAAGTCCTAAATGTTTCAATTTCCTCCAGGACTGTAAAAAGGCTCAGAAATTGGCAATATTAAAAGAGTGGGGCGAGTTTTCTTTATCGATGAAGTAAGAGTTGGCCTCAAATATTTAGACAGGTGAATTTTCATATGGAATCTCTTGGAGAGAAAGACCCCATGATGTATGGTTCCTGAAGTGGCATTTAAGCGACGAGTATGATTATGAAATCCAGGTTCTACCACTCTAGATGAATTGGCAATGGCTGTTCTTGATGAATGGTAAAGAATTCCTCAGGATTTTGTCAGCAATCTATTCCGATGAATGCAAAGGCCTTTATCGGACATGATTTGTGTCTTTTTTTATTTATTTATTTTTAAATAATTAGGTAATAAACATTTTCTTTTTAAATGTCTTTTTTTACAACCAAACCTATTTTTGGTATGCAAAATGTGAATCAACCTAAACACATTAAAATTTAAGGGTTGTGCATTAATTTTGTCCATCAGTGTATAATATAATTATGATTGATGAAAGGATGAGCAAGAGAAATTTAAAATAAATAATTTCATACCAGATTATTATGCATGTTTAATATTATTTTATTTTGTTTAAAAGATGAGAGGAAGTCAGTACCAAACCATCCTCAGGGATCACATTTGCAAAGACATGGCACCTATCGTAGAAGCGAGAATATCACAAATTCCGACAGCAAGTGGCTCTGATTGGAGGGATTTGCCTAACATTAGTGTTAGGCTGAACGATGGTACCCACACTAAAAAATTGTAGGTGTAATTTTTTTCGTCTCTTTACACAATTGTTTTGGTGAGGTAACTCGTTCTGGAGTTAACCATCACTATAAACCCTTCCCTGGGTACGATGTCATTCCAGGACATACCTCATCTGTGAAACCCTAGCTTTTCAATTCTTATTATAAGGTGGTTTTTTTTGTAACCTCTTCGAGTAGAGTCGGTTTCCGTGGACTTTAGTATTGCTTTGTCAATGTTACTGCGAAGATCATTTTTCAATTTAACCTTTTGGTCATTTTCTATAATTTTTTATTCCCCCACAATACTAAATTTTGTATCATATTGTGAAATACATTTTTCTTGGTTGTAAATCTATCAAAAATACTTTCATTTAAAGGTCTAATCGAGGACATGTCACAGGAATCCTTTGTTCATATTTTTGACAATTTGCTCCCTCGTGGTTTTTGTTTGTAATATTTTTTTTAATTTGTCATAAATAATTAGTAAATATGGAAATAATTATTTAATGTGTAAATAACTTGAATTTTTTTTCACAAATTCAGATTTTAAAAAATTGTTCCAGTACTATTGTTTTTTAATGTATTTATTGGTTTCTTTAGAATTTATACACACCACGACAAAAAAAATGGAAAATCCAAAACCGGGGCATTACGAGGAGTATGTGCATGTGCTACTGGGAAGCCTTGTGACCCTATGGATCGTCAGTTTAACACATTGATCCCTTGGTGTCTGCCTCACACTGGAAACAGGCACAACCACTGGGCCGGTTTATACGGTCGACTCGAATGGGACGGCTTTTTCAGTACGACTGTTACTAACCCTGAGCCCATGGGGAAACAGGTATTTGTAGAAAATTATTCTGACTTTTTTCTTGATTTGTTTTATTTGAAATGTCTTTACATTCATGTTTAATTGCCAGGGGCGAGTCCTCCATCCTGAGCAAACAAGAGTGGTCAGCGTTCGAGAATGTGCAAGATCTCAGGGTTTTCCAGACAAGTACAGATTCTATGGAACTATCCTTGACAAACATAGACAGGTAAATAAACCAGATGGTCATATTAATTAAAATATTCATGTTATTTATTTTTTTTTTTCAGGTAGGAAATGCAGTTCCACCGCCTTTGGGGGCTGCTCTTGGTCGTGAAATTAGAAAGTGTGTCAGCCAAAAGGAGAAAACAATTCAACTAAAAGAAGAAACAATATCAAAAATGGAAATTGATGATTGAGTTTTATTCTTAATAAACATTTTTTTTATCATTAATTTTATTTCATATTCTTGTACTTCATTAACATAAATATTGTTTTTGTTGGAATTTTATATGTACGATACATTATTATTATTTAATTGTATGCGCTAATTTTAAATTTAAATTTTTATTCGTGGTATTTTAATATATTCCTCATACGAAAGAAATTATTCCTAAATTCACATATTAGTTTTAAATAAAAACGTTTATATTAAGTTTTTTTATTTATATATATATTTTTTAACTTACTGTCATCCAGGAGGGCTTAACCCCCACCTGTTGGTGTTGTGGACGATGGTCGAACATCAAACCACTTTATAATATTTGTTTGATATTACTTTCAATTAAATTTTGACCATGTTGGGATTTGAACCCAGAACTGCTAGCGTAGCAAATAAGAGCTGGATGCCCTATCTAGAGATGGGAAAACGGTTCTTTTTAAAGATCAAATCAAAACCACTCACTCAGATAAATGAATCACCTCTTTTTCATAGCTGACGCTCACCAAATTGATCTTACTCATAATTCCATGTGTAAACTTTGGTGGGTTTTTCGAATTTAAATGTGCCAGGGATTGATATATGAAAGAAATGAAGGGTTCAATTTTTTAAAAATATTTTTTTAATTATTGCTAATAAGTTTAAAAAATGAATTAAACAAAGAAGGTAGAACAGTATGTCATTTTGTTCACATAACAATTAACAACCCTGTAATTTTATTACCCTTTTCTTGTGAACAAAGGAATAAAACAAAAATCAAAATATATAATAACAAATAAAAGTGCGTACATAATGGAATTAAATTTTTTATTGAACATAAAAAGAAATAACTTTTTTTAACTTGCAGGACTTAGAAGATGTAATATGTAAATAAATAAAGAGCCAGAGTAACGTTCAATGCTGGGAGGTGGAATTGCAGATCATATTATGCTCTCAGATGAAGACCTCATATTATCCAGGGCTTTGGCTATGTTAAGGGTTTAGGTGGTGCATTGCTGGGTTCCGAAAAGAAGATTGACGAAACACACACCTTCAGATATTGGGGTTTTATTTAATTCTAGTTTATTTAATTATTTTTATTATTGGTTTTGTGACAAAAACCGTGTCTATTTAATGGTGACTACAAGATTATATAAAGGAAACAGTGCCATCCATGTGAGCATAATTAAGGAAGCCCAAGGGGAGTACAAACACCCATCCTATGTAGCATAACAGTTAAACTGCAAAGAAATAAGAGGATATGCAATGATATAGCCCTAATCAATAGAGAAATACGGAAAGGAACTCAGTAACAATCTTAGGTGGTACTATCAATCATAAAATGACGTCTACTACAAGCTCCTTGAGACTTAAAATCTCAAGCAGGATATGACGGTGATGGTCGATGAAGACAATTTGAAAAAAACATTGGTTTTGAAACACAAGACGGTGTAACGATTATCGCCAAAAAAAAAATCATTTATTCAAAACCTATGGGCACCTGTGTTTTTCAAGTGGGAGTTACTGTAACTGAAAAATGTGATACAATTTCTTTTCCCGCCAATTTTTTTATTCCGTTTTCGCCACCTCGACTCCGCCATTTCTTCATTGTCCGTTTTGCTTCCGTCCATGTCCCATCGTCAAACTAATTTGTTTCCGATTATATCCTTTCTCGTTGTTTTACTGCCTCCTTTTAGATTTCATCCTGTTTCCATTATAGAAATGTGTAATATTTAGTTACCGTTAATTACTTTTATTAATTAACGCGATTATTTAAAGATCGCGAGATACGGTCTGGTGTGTTGTAGGTTAGAAAAACATTTTCTTTATCGTGCCAACGTTTATTTTTAACTTTCTCACTCCTCCAAAATCAAACATATAAAGAAAAAACATTAAAATCTCACTACGCGACAAAAAACATTGACACTACTACTCAGAAAACACCTTGTACACACTTCGAGTGAGTCCAAATACTTTGATTAAACCTAAAACATTCTATAATGTGTACGTCATTTTATAAATTCATTTTCATATGTTATATGTATTTGTATAATTTAAACAATGTTTTTAATTCCCAGGCCCTGAAGATGATCTCAATTAAGGTCGAAACGTTGGTACTGTAATCAAAAGGTTTTTCTAACCTATTCACACCAGACAGCATCTCATAATCTTTAAATAACCTGTTTCCATCGTTTTATTCCTACTGTTCCCTATTTTCCTTCGTACAATTCCTACAGTCCGCTCGCCTCAAATCGCCTCCAATTTCATTACTCCTTTCCAGTAGTTTTTTTAAAATTTCCTGAGAAGTTTCCTTTCGTTTTATTTATGCCCGATCGCTAAGTAGTGACAGTAACAAAGTACGCGAGTGCCACGTCCAGAACCGTTCTGCAGCCGTCACATCGCACCGGATAAGGATGGAGCTTTCAATTGGTGTTCCAGCAGCAGATTTATGTCCTGGCAGTGGTTACGAGCATATCGAGCTACGACGCGGCCACGCTAAGAGTAAGTTTTTATTTTATTTTGTTATTTTTCCTTTGTTTCCATTATTATTTTATTGCGACCGACAGCCGCATACATAGGTTTTTGGTCCCCCTTCCCGGGCCATGATCATTTTTTGGTTTCCCGGCCCATAATCAGATTCCAAAATCATTGCGTAGTTGGAATAATTGCTTCATGCTCCAACAAGAAAAGCAACCTCATTTATCACTTCTCAGTAATCACTCAGCTTCCATTAGCAAAACCCCTAGATTGTTAATCTCTTTGTTACCTTTCATTACAAAACAAAACCTGCAAGTTTCGACTCTTCCAAGATTTTGTTTACAAGCTCCCAAAACCCAAACACATTCCTCTCTTCACTTAAATAAATTGCATTTTAATCGTTCATAATGGGTACCATAGAACAAAAAATAATCGAACGATTGGATAATCTTGTCTTAAAACGCTCCAACAAATTTTAATGCATCAAAAGTATATGATGTTGCTAAACAATTCAACAATGATAAAATAAAATGTAGAGGCGCATCCAGTATCCATTTACGAGACCCAATTTAATTAGATCAGGAAACATTAGAACATAAGTATTACTATTGCTATTGCCCTCATCCAAGTGAATAATTGTTTAATTGATCATTTATAGCACTCACAAACCAATTCGTTTATAAAATCGCTGAAGTTTTCTGTATATATTAAAAATTTGTAATTATAAGGCTTTGCAATTTTGCATTGATCTATCGCAGGGAAAAGAGTTTCTTTCCTTTTAAAAAATTTGGCAGTACCATACGATATGTTCCGCGTTTTCAACTTGGGTGCACACCGTACACAGGTCCACTGTCTTCCAGTCTTACTATGAGTAGGTACTATCTTTAAAAAAAAGGATTATCCAACATGTGTAGGTATGCTGCTATGAACGTAGTCTGGCTATTGTGATAGTGCTGAACCGCTCAAACCTTTCTCTGGTGAACCAAGGTTGGCAACCGACCTTAGGGAAGATAGATTTATATCATTGTACAGTGTTTGAAGATCTGTATCTATTCTGCCACGCTTCAATTGATCTTTTTTTTTATAACATTGATGGCATTGTAATGTGATATTTTAAATAGCTTTCTCGTTTCCTGTCAATGAACCTCTTACCTTTAGGAATCTAATTTGTTTGCATTTATTCCTGATAGTTCGGTAGTTACCATCGGTGAAATGGTACAACATAACGGCGATTTTATTGAATTCTCACAAGCGGGTTCGTGTAGGTTTGGACACGGTACGAGAGACAACTCGTCACAACCAAATACAAATCTCCCATACAAATTCCACCTTGCCTAAAATTTCCTTGCTCCGATTTAGCGGCAAGATTGACGATTGGCCAGAATTCATCTCGGTTTCTAGTGTGCATAATATAGTGCACAACAATACGTCAGTAGCTAAAATCCCCTTGAAAGGAGAAGCACTTCACAGTGCTGCTGCGTACGTACCGAGTTTTAAAGAAGGTAAGAATTTGAAAGAGGCAGTCAATTAAAATTTCAAGGAAAAATAAAGCCAACGGACAAAGTTAGCTAATAGTATCGAGTTGAATTTTTCTAGTTATTACTTATCCATCATCTCCGGCTTTCGGCTAACCCCCGAAACTACCCCATTGCCTACGATGCGTTACATCAACGCTATCAAAATACACGTAGAATCGCTTCCATGTAATCTGCTCAAAAATGAACAGGGATATTTGTAATTTATTCTTATTCTATTAACTTTAATTATTATATATTCTTGTTAGTTGGATAAAACAAAATAGAAAATACAAACTAAAAACTTTTAATTTTAAAATTTAATTCTCATATTTAATAACGGATTTACTTAATAATAGTATGATACATAAAAATTACTGATTTTGTAAACAAACAACTTTTCTCGTCTTTTCTCCATTTTAATCCAGTTGTATTCTCTTTAACAAAAAGAAAGAAAGAAAGGAAGGAAAGTCATCATCTTGTACCTGCAGTTTTCAATATCATTGTGCGAATGAGTTACTGAGGTCATCGGCAAGTGGATATCGCAGAGGCAGTTGGCAGAGCGTGGTCTCCCTCTCGGTTTTATCTCTCCAGTCGTATTGGCCATGAAAGTAATTTTACAACGCTTTTGGCTTTCAAAATATGATTGGGAAGAATTAATAGCTTTGAGCGAACAGAGGTTGCAATTGACCGACTTCTTTCTTCTTCTTGTTTTCTTCCCTAGCAGCCCTTCGGATCCTTCGTTGTGTTCTCCCTGTTTCATTGTTCCCTCTGTGTCGGCTTTTGTGACGCCTCCGAAAAGGCGTATGCTACAATCTTATACTTACTCTTCGAAACTGCACATTACTGTGGAAGGCCAAGTGTAAAGTTACTCCTCTCAAAGTCATATCCATATCCCGCTTAGAACTGTGCCGCCGTTCTGATATCCAATCTTGTGTCTGTAAGAAGTGTAGCGCTGCCACCCCCTTTAGCAGGAGTTAGATTATTTTCTGACTCTACTGTCTTACTGTCATGGTTCAATTCAGTGCCGCACATTTTAAAATCGTTCGTGTCTAATCGCGTAGTGTCTATCGCAGAGACGGTTTCTGACGCCATATTCGTTAACTTATAACTCCAGAGGCAGGAGCGGAGTTAAAACCGGAAAAGTTTGTTTGAAAGCTATTGGGTTGTCCGGAAAATAATGCAGGATTTTGGTATTAAACAAAAAAAAAGAAACTAGTTACTTTAAAGCAATGTTCTTTAATCAAAATAATTTCCCANATCCTGTAAACGTAAACAGAATATTTTATATAGATTTTTTTTAATGAAAACTTAAAATCCTGCATTATTTTCCGGACAACCCAATAATAAGAGTTTAGAAAATCTGTTGGTTGGCAAGCGTTCCTGGTTTTCCACCTTACCGAATTCTGTCACTCAACAATATTATTTTTTGATATCTATCTTTTCACTAGGAGACGACCTATACTCAGTGATGACGTGGGATAAATGGTAATATGATACCTTGGTCCTCCTCGGTTAAATACTTTGGCGTGTAACTTGGGAGCAAACTAAATTTTACGTTTCCATACTCTATAGAGAGTCGGGTCTGAATAATTGCTTATATGTACACAAAATGATGGTAAGATCAGCTCATATTTATTCTTGTTCTGTTGTTATACTGTCAACATGTGAAAGTAACTATAGGAAACTGCAAGTTGCTCAGAATAAATTTCTTAGTCTGTGCACTAATTCTCCTGCATCCATAACGATTGGATTTTTGCATGAGATATGCAGGTTGGACACAATCAAAAGTTTTATTGAAAAATGCACCATAAATATAAACTTTAAGAAGGCTTGTGCCAATGGCTGTAGTAGTTTGATAGCTGGTATTGGAAACCTTGGTCCTACAAAGAATAAACATAAATACCATGGTAGATGTAATGGGTACCTTTTCCTGACAAGTTAAGCTAATGCCATTCATTTGAGACGAAGACTGATAGTTCAGTGTATACTGGACTTCCTTCTTAGCTTGGTTTTTTTAGATGTTTTATCCCTTCACTAAACAGTTTGTCATGAACTTGTTGTCATTTATTATTATTTATTTATCTGTTGATGTGAGTTGAATTTATTTTTCAAATTGTGATCACAAAAATTTTAATTAACTATTGTTATCTAACGAAAATAAATGTATATCTAACATTATATCGAAAATACTTCGTGTATACAAACATTTTGCTTTCAATGTTTGAAGTGCCGACCACTTTTTCACTCACGAACACTCTGGATCAAGGTATGGTCTTGAAGAAAAATTAAGTTGTTACTGCCAGAAGTGACATAATATGGTGTTACAGTTTTTGGCAATGTCTAGTGAAGACTAAGTCGGTCTTCAAGGAAATTTGTATCGCCTGTAAAAAACTATCCAATAGACTAGTCCAAAAAACTAGTCAATCCATAGACATTCTTAAGATTGTATTGTCCAGATGATGACCTTAAGATAGGTCGAAAGCTTGGCAGTGACAACTAAATTTGCTTTTCTCTTTATGACCATACCTTGATCCAGACCGTTCGTGAAAACATTTTGCAATATGTTCTGTTAAACAATGACCAATAAGTTCAAAATTCTGTTTTACATATCTCTTGTATGAATTGTGAAATTTCCTCGAGGTTTATGGGGTGGGGCGATGAATATGTTGGTCGTTTCCGATCATTTTACTCTGTCCAACCTTACTGCTTTTGGTCTGTGAGACACGTTTGAGCTTCTAACAATCTTTAGACCTGTGTTGCTGTTTTATTTTAATAAATCGAAAAATAGAGACCTACCACTGAAGATATAAACCGAAACGTGTCTGAGAGGCTAAATAATTTTATTTTAGAATCAAGCATATTGAATACAAATAATGTATAAAGGGAAAAGTTTTCACCTTCCTCTAAGCAAACGCAATAGGTTCAACCCAATTAAAATTATTTATTATATTCTTCCTTTACTTATAATAATAAAGAAGTAACTCTATTTCGATATAAAAAATCAGCAGACGATTAAATCCATGCAAAACTGGTGATTCTACTATTAAACCGACGTATCATTATTCGAAGTTATTCAATTTTCATCCTGGGGCTGGATAAATTACGGGGCGTTTGATCCTGCTGAAAACAGTTATCGATGGAGAGAATATTTTAATAATAAATATGCGCGGTAATAAGAATTTAACAGGTGCAGGCGGTTTCATCGATCTTAAATCAATCTGGTAATCATCTGGGGGCAAATCAGTATGCAATTTCATGGCAACGTAATTACAGAAGGAGTTGTTAATGAATAGGCCGTTTCTGATACTAAAAAAGTAATGATTTTTCGAGCTGCGTCAAATAATTTTTTTTATAAGAGGGTTATCAGTAGACGATAACGAGCTTATCCAGAGGATAGAACAAAGAATTGAATCCTTGAAGTTATGACCGTTTGACTTTCACCTTATAGGAGTGATTTGATGGCGTCCAGACGACCAATGGGAAAGACGCCGGGATAGAAAGCTCACG